ATTCTGTACTTTATTGTTGCCTATCGTATACGGCAGCAGTTTGCCTCGCAAAAAGAGGACCAGATTGCAATCGAAAAAGCCAAGGCTGCAGCGATGGAAAGAAAGTCCCGTGCAAATAAAAACCCAGATCAAACGGCAGACAGAAGAGCTTCCAATGCTGATAATATGCAAAGACTCAAGGACTACCAAACTCCTGAACAAGCCGAAAGTCCCAAAAAGAGCCCACCGCAGGACCTAGCTTAATTGCTGCTTGATAGGGCAGCTTTTAAGCCGGTATATAAATAAATTGGAAAACTTTTATTCTTAACCAATGTTAAAATAGTTTTTTTTAAAAACTTTTTACAGAAGAGTCAGCCTGTAAAATGTCCGTGTACTACTCGAGGATTACGTAAAGGGGTGGTTTATACGGATAGGAGGGGGAAGATAACGGTTAACTCTAGACTTAAACAGGTTTAGATTGTAGTCTTCGGAGAAACATCCTCTGTGGTGTCGGTTCCACAGAGCAGTAAAGCTGTTCGAGTGAAACTAGCTTCTCGCCGATGGAATACGGAGTTAATGTTGGGGAGGTTTGCTACAGTGCAAGTGGCATGACCGGGTCCTAGACTTCGAAGGATCTGTCTATATTTCTGAGATGAGGTATTGTAACTATTTGCACTCTTTACATTGTTCGGGCTATTGTCCTCAACTTTACTGTCACATTCACGACGTTTCGGCCGTTATACGCTCCGGCCTTCTTCAGGATCTGTCTATATTTCTGAGATGAGGTATTGTAACTATTTGCACTCTTTACATTGTTCGGGCTATTGTCCTCAACTTTACTGTCACATTCACGACGCTTTGGCCGTTATACGCCCCGGCCTTCTTCAGGATCTGTCTATATTTCTGAGATGAGGTATTTTAACTATTTACACTCTTTACATTGTTCGGGCTATTGTCCTCAACTTTACTGTCACATTCACGACGTTTCGGCCGTTATACACCCCGGCCTTCTTCAGGACCTGTCTATATTTCTGAGATGAGGTATTGTAACTATTTACACTCTTTACATTGTTCGGGCTATTGTCCTCAACTTTACTGTCACATTCACGACGTTTCGGCCGTTATACGCCCCGGCCTTCTTCAGGATCTGTCTATATTTCTGAGATGAGGTATTTTAACTATTTGCACCCTTTGCATTGTTCGGGCTATTTTCCTCAACTTTACTGTCACATTCACGACGTTTTGGCCGTTATACGCTCCGGCCTTCTTCAGGATCTGTCTATATTTCTGAGATGAGGTATTGTAACTATTTACGCTCTTTACATTGTTCGGGCTATTGTCCTCTACTTTACTGTCACATTCACGACGTTTCGGCCGTTATACGCTCCGGTCTTCTTCAGGATCTGTCTATATTTCTGAGATGAAGTATTGTAACTATTTACACTCTTTACATTGTTCGGGCTATTGTCCTCAACTTTACTGTCACATTCACGACGTTTTGGCCGTTATACGCTCCGGCCTTCTTCAGGATCTGTCTATATTTCTGAGATGAGGTATTGTAACTATTTACACTCTTTTACATTGTTCGGGCTATTGTCCTCAACTTTACTGTCGTCACATTCACGACGTTTCGGCCGTTATACGCTCCGGCCTTCTTCAGGATCTGTCTATATTTCTGAGATGAGGTATTGTAACTATTTACACTCTTTACATTGTTCGGGCTATTGTCCTCAACTTTACTGTCACATTCACGACGTTTTGGCCGTTATACGCTCCGGCCTTCTTCAGGATCTGTCTATATTTCTGAGATGAGGTATTGTAACTATTTACACTCTTTTACATTGTTCGGGCTATTGTCCTCAACTTTACTGTCACATTCACGATGTTTCGGCCGTTGTACGCTCCGGCCTTCTTCAGGATCTGTCTATATTTCTGAGATGAGGTATTGTAACTATTTACCTCTTTACATTGTTCGGGCTATTGTCCTCAACTTTACTGTCACATTCACGACGTTTCGGCCGTTATACGCTCCGGCCTTCTTCAGGATCTGTCTATATTTCTGAGATGAGGTATTGTAACTATTTACACTCTTTACATTGTTCGGGCTATTGTCCTCAACTTTACTGTCACATTCACGATGTTTCGGCCGTTGTACGCTCCGGCCTTCTTCAGGATCTGTCTATATTTCTGAGATGAGGTATTGTAACTATTTACACTCTTTACATTGTTCGGGCTATTGTCCTCAACTTTACTGTAACATTCACGACGTTTCGGCCGTTATACGCTCCGGCCTTCTTCAGGATCTGTCTATATTTCTGAGATGAGGTATTGTAACTATTTACACTCTTTACATTGTTCGGGCTATTGTCCTCAACTTTACTGTCACATTCACGACGTTTCGGCCGTTATACGCTCCGGCCTTCTTCAGGATCTGTCTATATTTCTGAGATGAGGTATTGTAACTATTTACACTCTTTACATTGTTCGGGCTATTGTCCTCAACTTTACTGTCACATTCACGACGTTTTGGCCGTCATACGCTCCGGCCTTCTTCAGGATCTGTCTATATTTCTAAGATGAGGTATTGTAACTATTTACACTCTTTACATTGTTCAGGCTATTGTCCTCAACTTTACTGTCACATTCACGACGTTTCGGCCGTTATACGCTCCGACCTTCTTCAGGATCTGTCTATATTTCTGAGATGAGGTATTGTAACTATTTACACTCTTTACATTGTTCGGGCTATTGTCCTCAACTTTACTGTCACATTCACGACGTTTCGGCCGTTATACGCTCCGGCCTTCTTCAGGATCTGTCTATATTTCTGAGATGAGGTATTGTAACTATTTACACTCTTTACATTGTTCGGGCTATTGTCCTCAACTTTACTGTCACATTCACGACGTTTTGGCCGTTATACGCTCCGGCCTTCTTCAGGATCTGTCTATATTTCTGAGATGAGGGTATTGTAACTATTTACACTCTTTACATTGTTCAGGCTATTGTCCTCAACTTTACTGTCACATTCACGACGTTTCGGCCGTTATACGCTCCGACCTTCTTCAGGATCTGTCTATATTTCTGAGATGAGGTATTGTAACTATTTACACTCTTTACATTGTTCGGGCTATTGTCCTCAAATTTACTGTCACATTCACGACGTTTCGGCCGTTATACGCTCCGACCTTCTTCAGGATCTGTCTATATTTCTGAGATGAGGTATTATAACTATTTACACTCTTTACATTGTTCGGGCTATTGTCCTCAACTTTACTGTCACATTCACGACGTTTTGGCCGTTATACGCTCCGGCCTTCTTCAGGATCTGTCTATATTTCTGAGATGAGGTATTGTAACTATCTACACTCTTTACATTGTTCAGGCTATTGTCCTCAACTTTACTGTCACATTCACGACGTTTCGGCCGTTATACGCTCCGGCCTTCTTCAGGATCTGTCTATATTTCTGAGATGAGGTATTGTAACTATTTACACTCTTTACATTGTTCAGGCTATTGTCCTCAACTTTACTGTCACATTCACGACGTTTCGGCCGTTATACGCTCCGGCCTTCTTCAGGATCTGTCTATATTTCTGAGATGAGGTATTGTAACTATTTACACTCTTTTACATTGTTCGGGCTATTGTCCTCAACTTTACTGTCACATTCACGACGTTTTGGCCGTTATACGCTCCGGCCTTCTTCAGGATCTGTCTATATTTCTGAGATGAGGTATTGTAACTATTTACACTCTTTACATTGTTCAGGCTATTGTCCTCAACTTTACTGTCACATTCACGACGTTTCGGCCGTTATACGCTCCGACCTTCTTCAGGATCTGTCTATATTTCTGAGATGAGGTATTGTAACTATTTACACTCTTTACATTGTTCGGGCTATTGTCCTCAACATTACTGTCACATTCACGACGTTTCGGCCGTTATACGCTCCGGCCTTCTTCAGGATCTGTCTATATTTCTGAGATGAGGTATTGTAACTATTTACACTCTTTACATTGTTCGGGCTATTGTCCTCAACTTTACTGTCACATTCACGACGTTTCGGCCGTTATACGCTCCGGTCTTCTTCAGGATCTGTCTATATTTCTGAGATGAGGTATTGTAACTATTTGCACTCTTTACATTGTTCGGAATGTTCATCCTCATATTTATTGCCATATTCACGACGTTTCGATCGTCGTACGCTCCGGCTTTTTTCAGCATCTGTCTATATTTCTGACATTAGATATGTTAACTATTTACGCTATTTACATTTTTCAGACTGTTGTCCTCATCTTTACTGTGATATTCACGACGTTTCGGCCATTGTAAACCCCGTCCTTCTTCAGTTGATATACGTTGAAATTTGGAACCGAACACTTTATTTAGTCCTCGGGGGTAGAATATTCTCATTCCTTGTGCCATGCCAAGGACACCTGGTCCAGTTGAGTAATCCAAAAGATTGACTTGACCTAAAGTAGTTGTGAGTTCGATACCTGATCTAAGCAGAGAGAACAAAATAAATAAATAAATAAATTGGTGAGTTGAATTATCAAGGGACATTAACTAAAAATGAGATACCCAAAGGATATCTACCAGCGTAGGCTTTTAAAAGGTCAGATTCGAAATTCCAGCAAATATCACCTGAAGAAAGGCGGAGCGTACAACGGCCGAAACATCGTGTTTTCAGTAAAGATGAGGACAACAGCCCGAACAATGTAAATAATGGATTTTAGTATTTAATTTGAATTTTTACAGTTAATATTACTTTAGGAAGCATTTTTTTCTTGTTTTGTCCAGTTGGCAAGGGCTTGAGTCATATCACGTAGATTGCTGACAAATGCAACCACAATTTCTACCTAGCGGGAGTTAGTACAAATTGAAAAATGCCGTTGACGGCTGCACCTCCACTCACCCCCCCCCACTACCGCCTCCCATTTTTAATTTTTTCTTTTTCACTCCGTGAATTCTTTATTCGGTGTGTTAATGGAATAACGATTTCTGCCGAGCGCGGCTCTGATGCTGACGTGTCTCTTTTCGGCTGCTAAAAACGCAGGAAGTCGCCCGGTAGACGGTCGCCATGTTGATCTAATCAGATTAACACCTTGCTTCTCGGCATGCGTTGGAAATGGCGGCCAAATTATGGAATTGGTGGCAAGAGGCCAGAGGATACTTTGGCGGGAAGCGAGGGACGAAAACCAATCTATCTTTCTTCGATTTCTTCAATCTTCCAGTTTTTTTTTGTTTTTTTTTTGCCTTTTTGTTTTCTTCGGGTTTCTCGCCTTTCGGTTTCAGGTTTAAGTTCATTTTTAATCTACCTATCTAAATTTGTTCATATCTAACAATCTATATATTTATCTATCTATCTATGCATCTGTTTGTTCATATCTATCTATCTATGAAATGCGATTTGTGTATCTGTACGCTTATACCTCTAGATAGATTTGTCAAATTTTCCTTCGTCTCTCCTCGCGTATTCAAATCTTTCATCATTTTTTCATCTATCTATCTATCTATCTATCTATCTATCTATCTATCTATCTATCCCAGTCTGTTCGTTATCTATCTATCTATCTATCTATCTATCTATCTATCTATCTATCTATCTATCTCAGTCTGTTCGTTATCTATCTATCTATCTATCTATCTATCTATCTATCTATCTATCTATCTATCTCAGTCCGTCCTTATCTATCTATCTATCTATCATTCTCATTTTGTTCATTATCTATCTCTCTGTCTATCTATCTATCTATCTATCTATCGCAGTCTCTTCATATCTACTAAGCTTTACTCTACGTTATTACTATTAGTTTATTACTAGTTTCTGGTGATTCTGTGCAGACACACTTGACCATTTCCTATTATTTTACAGTTCTCATTCACTTTGAAAACGTAACAGTTAATAAAACTGAAAATAAATATTTGTTCACAAATGAATTAAATTTGTACAGAGAAGAATATTAGAATAAATGTAAAATATTGTAATTTTATATAAATAAAAAAGAATGTTATATATAATATATATATATATAAGAATTTATATATATCATATATATTATATATATTATATATAAGAGAATGTTATATATATATATATATATATATATATATATATATATATATATATATATATAGTTGATGCGTGTTTCATTAAATAATATAGACAAGTGCTGTCTATTTATTTTATGTAAATTTTTTTCATATCGTCTGATAGTCTTAATAGCATTATCATTAAAAGAAGAAAGAAAATCACAATATTGATATATGTTTTTTTAAATCCTATCTAAACTTTCGGCTTACAAGAGCCATTATTAAAAATGACAATTACATTTCAATATATTGAACAATACACAGACAAAACAATAATGATAGCCTGTTTTTGTTGCATGAAAAATTTCAAAGCAACGACAAACTCGTGTATACGAGACGTGGAAGCGAAAGTCGCACCGCAGCTCATGACGTCACACATGACCACGCGAGAGTGAAAACGAGAAGTATTAAGTATGGGAAGCCATTGGTATAAACCAATGGCTTCTGTTATCAATTATAGACATTTAAGAATATTTGAGGAGATTTCATAGTTTATTTTGTTCAGGTAAGGTTTCAACTGTTTTATGTATATAGCTTCAAGAATTTTTTGTTTATTGTTTTCATGTTTAAGGAAATTAAATTTATATATGTAGTTATAGATTTTATTACTCTGAATTTCTAAAAGTCTTGAGATTTGATTATAGTGGTGAAGTTTTCGTGCAGGAACATCCACACTTTTTGAAGGGCCGAATACAGAGACCTGGTGCACTACGTGCCACAAGGTCCCCAAACGGGTATTAGCACGTAAGTGAAAGTAATGGATACGACTGGAATTCGAACTCGGCTCTGCGATTCCTCAATCCAAGCCGCTGTCCATTCTCTCTCTCTCTCTCTCTCTCTCTCTCTACATATATATATATATATATATATATATATATATATATATATATATATATATATATATATACCGCTTATATATTATATTATATATTATATTATATATTATATATATATATATCTTTTTATGCATTTAAACCCAAGGAAGGCGGGAAACCACTAGCACGCAAGGTTTACAGACAGTTGGGGCGAGAGCAAAGAGGAGTGATAGAGGAAAGGATGAAGAGAAAGATAGGGGATAGATCAGGGCATCTGGAGACGTCGATTGACATTACATTTGAATAGTTGGAGATTATCGCTATCAGGGAAACAGGGAGTTCCACAGGCGAGAGGTGCGAGACATGAAGCTATTGGAGTAGAAGAGACGGCTACATTTAACAGTTTCGACAGTGAAAGGGTGAGAGCGAGATGCCAGCCTAGTTGAACGCTTAAATTCATGAAGTCTGGGAACCAGCGAAAGCAGCCCATCGGAGCAGTTACCATGAAAGTATTTGTGAAAAAAGACAGAGGGAGGCGACGGCACGTCTGTGAGAGAGAGCGACTGCAGACGAGATGCCAGATCAGGGCATATCATATCGGTCTCTGGATCTTATCAAGAACCTTGAGACAAATATAAGGGGTACCAGAACATATATGGCAGCAATACTACTATTACGACTGCTACTAATATATATATATATATATATATATATATATATATATAAGTGAACATAGAAATCAACACTTAGAGGCGACAGTCTGTTTCATGTTATATGCAATCGTCAGGCCACATATGCTGTTATTTTTCTCGGCTATTTATATATATACGGGTTAGTGGTGCATTGTGGGTATTCTATTATGGCGGTTATTTTTTACCTGAAGTCGCTTTGTCTATTTATTTGGGTCAAATTATATTGCTCGTTTTTATTTATTTATTTATTTATTTATTTTTTTGTTTCTTATTTTATTTATTTATTTATTAACGTAGTAAAAATTTGTTTATATCACGTATTTAACAGTTTTGTTTTGGTTTGAGAATTTAATTAAAGCTATTTGTTCAATTTTGGGGTTGGTTGTTGTAGTTCATTCTAACTATTATTTTTTGGCGGGAACAGTTTTTTAATTTGGGATTGGTTGGATGAATTTAGGTCAATTTATTTGTATATTTTCTCTTTTTGGTTTTCGGTTTTTAAGAAACATAGTATTTATTTATTTTTATTTTATTTTATTTTTATTAGTGTATTTGTTTGTTTTTATTTTATTGTTTCCGTTTTTCATTTTTTAGGTTACGTAGTAAAAATTATTTTCATGCCTGCATTTTGAGATGAGCTCGGATCTTTTATTTAATAATTTATTTTGGTCGGGGAAAGTAATGATAGCTATTTTTCCTCCAAGCAAAGTTTGCAAGTTTTTGATTGGTTGTTGTAGGCTGATGACTTTTTCCTTATCTTCCAAGATATTTTTGGTGTGATGTGCGTTTTGTTTTTTTTATTTCCCAGATATACTTAGAAAGCATAGTACTGTTCGCATATTTACTATTTGTGAACGATGTTTTGTGTGTATAATTTCTTTGCTTCCAGGGTCCTTCAGTTACTCCTATGTATACTTTTTCTTCATTATCTGGTGATTTTATCGTGGCTTGGTATATTACGTTGTTTTGTAAACAATTTCCGTTTAAGGGACATTCGTTCTTTATTCTGCAGTTGCACGTGGGTTTAATTTGTTCGTGTGGTTTGTTGATAATTTTCCTATTGTGCTTTTTTATTATTTGTGCTATGCTCTCGGTGCAGCTGTAGCTGATTTTTACTGTGTTTTTGTTGAATATCTTGTGTAAGGTGCTTGATTCTGGGAAGTGTTTGTGTAAGAGTTGGAAGAATATTTTTCCTATGTTTGTTTTTACGTTCTTGCTGTACGGTGGGTTGAACCATATGATATTTCTTCTCTTGTTGGTCTTTTTTGTATTCTGTGGTGAGTATGTGAGTATTGCTGGGAATCCGCTATCTTTTAGGGCCGTTTCATAGTCTTTCTTAGCTTTGTTAAATAGGGGTTCATTGGAGGAATTGTCGGAGAGCCTGCGGTTAATCGATTAACCGCAGGCTCTCCGATATGTGGCCTGACGATTATATATAGCATGAAACAGACTGTCGCCTCTAAGTGTTGACTTCTATGTTCACTTTTATATTTACACACGCTCTATCTCTGATATTGAGCACTTTATCCCATAAATATAGCACACCTTAAGACTATATTTCTTTTTATATATATATATATATATATATATATATATATACGAATGTAGAAAAACATATGTGTTATATATATTATATATATAAGAGAAATTTATATATATATATATATATATTATACGTTATACTTATTATATATAAGTGACAGCTATATATATATATATATATATATATATATATATATATATATATATATATATATTATTACTCTGAATCTCTAAAAATCTTGACGATCATAGATTGGCAGATGGACTTTCTTCCAATCTAACACTAACTTCCCAGTGATGGAAACAACAATGCCTCAAAATCGAAATTGGTTACATTCCATCACCGCCGATCAGGTCCTAAACTACCGCCAGTAACGATAAACGGATGTCTCTTGGGGGCGGACCCGTGCCTTGAGAGAATATTGGGCCTGAAACCCACACCCGACCTCAAGTGGAACGAGTATATTCAATTCATCGCTAAAGATGTAGGTAAAATGATCGTCTTTCTGTACCACTCCAGTAACTACCTGACTCATACCTTTATAAGAGTCATATCAGGCCCTGAAAATGGTGTACCTTTGTCAAGATTGGGGCGAGAGTTGGCCAGTCTTGATAAATTTCAAAAGCGTCTCCGAGTCCTTGTTGGAGAAGAAGTATTTTCTCACCTACCAGCTTTTCTCTCACAGGTGAGATGTGGTGAGCTTCTCGCTACTCTATCACTATTTCTCTGGAAAGTGCTTGATTAAACTACATTCCTTGGTTCCAACAGGTTTAACCTTCACGGCTAGGACCCGCCATGACACTTGACATTGTAACAAACAACCCACATTCCGGCCATCTTCCATTGGTTGAGAAGTAAGTTCCACTCGACCAGCTTTTTCCCGCGAACCATTGCTCTGTGGAACAGACTCCCAAGGAGATGTCTTCCCCCGATCGCTACGATCATAACCTGTTCAAGTCTTGAGTTAACCGTTATCTTCCTCTCTTATCCGTATAAAGTGTCCCTCTTACTCTGAGGAGGCACTGTGTCTTGAGAGAATACCGGCACTCAAACTCCCATTCTACCTCAAGTAGATTTCATTTACGATCCATCGCTGGAGATGCAGGTAAAATGATCGGCTCCCTGTACCACTCCAGTAAGTACCTGACTCCTCATGTTACCCTTTACCTTTATAAGAGCCAGATCAGGCCCTGAAAATGGAGTACTGTTGCCACATTTGATCAGGAGCTGCCCAGACCTCACTTTCCAGTTTTGATAGCGTTCATAAACATCTACAAGTCCTTGTTGGAGAAGACATTCTCCACATTCCAACCTCCTCTCTCTCTCTCACAGGCAAGGTGTGGCGAGTCTGTCATTTCTCTATTGCTACAACCATGGTAAATACTCGGAAAAACTGCATCTTCTGATTCCACCAGGTCTGACCTTCACAGCTAGGACCCGCCAGACCCCTTACATAGTAGCAAACCACCCACATTCCCTCCGTATTCCATCGGCAAGAAGTAAGTTCCACTCGAGATCCCGTGCTCAATGGAACAGATGCCCAAGAGGAGGTTTCCTCAATCACAACAATCTTAACCTGTTCAAAGGTTTGCTTCCCATGCTATGAGCATGGGAAGCAAACCTTTGAATCAGTGAAAGTTTTTTCTCTATTATAAAATCCTTCCAAATATGTAGATCCCTGAAGCTAGTTATTAACGACCCGCCCTGCAAGGCCCTGGTGTTCACTTCTCGGACTCACACACAACCCCAAGTGGAACTACTCTATACAATTCATCGCTAAAGATGTATATAAAAAGAATCGGCTCTCTGTACCACTCCAGTAAGTATCTGACTCCTCATGCTACCCTCTCCTTATATAAGAGCCAGATCAGGTCGAAAATGGAGTAATGTTGCCACATTTGGTAAGGAGCTGCCAAGGCCTCACTTTCCAGTTCCAGTTCGTAAAATATCTTCAAGTCCTTTTGGGTGACAAATTATTTTCCACATTCCAAACTCTCCCTCACAGGCAGGATGTAGCGAGCTTCTCACACTCTATCGCTACTATCATTGAAAGTGCTCGGACGAACTGCAGCTCCTGGTTCCACCACGTCTGACCTTCACGGCTAGGACCCACCATGCCACTTACATAGTAGCAAACCATCCACATTCCCCCCGTATTCCATCGGTGAGAAGTAAGTTGCACAGAAAATCAAAGAACAAAACCAAAAAAACATTTATAGAAGTTTGGAGAACCTTTTAGAACTTTTGAGGCAATGTTTTTGATGCCAAAGCATGTCGATGAAGAAAACAATGGGTACCTTGCAAGTACGGAATCTTTTGTTTCTTCAATGCAAAAAATCCTGATTTATTTCTTAGCATAGCAGCGACATCGCAGGTAGACACAGAACCAACAATTTGGTTATCTAAATCATATTTTGAAAAGAAGTCCTTTACACGCTGGAAGATATCTTTTACTTTTGTGGTTGTTTTCAGATCATCCTAGAACAGGAAATCTTCCATTATGACACCATCATGCACATACCTCGCAAATGCCATGAGGTGATTGCATTTTGAAACATCAGCAATCTAGCCTCTAGACTTATTACATTCTATCATCGCAGATCAGATCCCGATCTATCTACAGTCATTATGAACAGATGTCCTCTCGTCTCTTGAGAAAATTTTGGACCTCAAACTCACACCTGACCTCAAGTGGAACACGTACATACGATCCATTGCTAAAGATACAGCTAAAATGATCAGCCACCCCCCTGTACCGCTCCAGTAAGTACCTGACTCCTCATGCTATCATCCACCTTTCTTTTTATGTGCCGTGTCCTTTCAGGACGTACACGACCATGGCTCTCCACTTCTTCTCCCTTATAGCTCTCAGTAAGTTTCGTCTGTCCGCAAACTCCCTTAGACCACGTTCTGTCATCCACTTGCTTAAGCCCGCTAGGTATGTAATGCGTTGGTTTCCCTTGTCTCTCTTTCTCTCTATTCGACTTAAAAGTATCAGATTCTCCAGGCCGTCCTTTCTCATTACGTGTCCCAGAAATATCAGCTGCCTCCTCCTGATGTTAAGTATAAGCTTCCTCCTTGTTTGCATCATCTCCAAGACCTCATTGTTGCTCACACGCTCGGTCCACTAAATCCTCAGCATCCTACTGTAGAACCATACAGCCGTTGCCTCGGGTCTCTTCTTCATCTTTGAGGAGACCGTCTAACATTTGCTGCCGTAAAGGAGGACAGATATCATGTAGCAGTTTAGTCCTCTTTTCTTTGTTACCAAAGAGATCCCCCTGTCTCGTAGTACCCAGCCTAGCTTTTGGAATGCGTCTTTGGACATCCGTCTTCGGATCTCAGAGTCGCACTTACCGTCCTCTGTCAGAACATTTCACAGATATTTCAATTTTCGCACCTGCTTCATTTTAGTGTCCCCGTCCTGTAAATCGCATTTCGGCATCATTTTTTTGATGATGACCATGCATTCTTCATTCCGAGCCGCTATCCACTACTCCACCGTGCCTCATATATATATATATATATATATATATATATATATATATATATATATATATATATTTATATTTGTCTGTGAACACTTGCTTATACATTTATATATATATATATATATATATGTTAGGGCCAGAAATAAAGACACAATAGAGGAATTGAGTTAAACAAATATATTAACAGAAACAGTAATACAAACATTTCTTTGTTACCAACGACCCCCCCCCTGTCTCGTAGCTTTTGGAATGTGCCCTTGGCCATCCCAATACTTATTCGGATCTCAGCGTCGCACTTACCGTCCTCTGTCAGAACATTTTACAGATATTTAAATTTTCGCACCTGCTTCATTTTAGTTTTCCTTACCTGTAAATTGAATTTCGGCCTCATCATTTTACTGATGACAATGCATTCTGTTTTCTTGTAGTTTATGCTTAGTCCTTTTTTCTCGCTCTCTGTCGCTACCTTTTGTAGGAGGTTTTGTAGTTTCCTTTCCGTGTCTGCTATCAGTACTATGTCATCTGCCTATCTTATGTTGGTAAGATTGTGGCCGCCAATTTATAAGAGCCAAATCAGGGCGAAAATGGTGTACTCTTGCCGTATTTGGGAGTGAGCTGCCTGATTTTCATAATGACGGTCGTCTTTGAGTATAGAATCCAGAGGTTAGCAGTGAATATTTTGATAAAAGTATCAGAGTGTGACAATGTGTCGCCCCCGTATTCCGGGATGAAAAGGATGGTGTTTCTGACGCTGATGGCCACGGCTCGAATGGTGATTTGGACGACGCGGAAGGAGGAAGTCTTGCGAGGCAATCGTCATTCTCATTCGGATCTAATCCGATTCTTTGAGCATCAGCTCAAGATGAAAATTAGAACTGATAGAAAACGATTGCATTCGACAGTCTTTAGCGAAAGGTGGGTAAAAGAAGCGAGCTTGGTTCGTGTGAACGGACTAACCTTGATTTTCTTTTCTAGGTCAACCTATAGCACATCGGGGTGGTTTCCTGTGGAACCCTCCCCTTGGTTAGGTTAGACAAGCTTCAGTGTACCTAGTTAATGTGAGTAAGTGTTGTTCCTGGCCTGTTTCCCGGCTGCTCTTTGGTTATGATCCAAGTTGAGATTCCCAACCTCCCCAGTTTGTTTTGTCTCCTTTTTTATCTCGACTGGGTCAGCGTTATATTTTCCCATGCCCGTATAATATTTTATCCCTTTTTCTTAGCGAGAGCGCCTCTTGATTTTGTCCTATGAGCAGAATACAGCGGCCTCTTTATTTTGAGGGTTGGACGGGTCTTACTAACATCAATTATGTTTAGTTTATATTTTGTGTTAATTTTTAGTTTATTATTGGGTTCATCTCCCCTCCTCTCTCATTTTATCATCATTAGAATTTTATGTATATTGTTTATTCATCATCAAATTTTTATGGTGTGGTCCCCCTAGTGAGAATGTGGTATTATGGTGTATGGAGGATTGATTTGTGATGGACGAGTTCTTGTGGTGAATGGATAATTGTAATGTATGAATGGGTCGTGAATCAGATTAGCTAGGTATAGGATAGTTAGTGTGGACCAGCCTCTACCCCTCCCACTTTTAGGCCTTGTGCCAAAATTTGTACATTTGTATGAATAAATATACTAGTACATAATGTATCCAAAAATTGTAACACTGCCCAGTCCACACTTTCCAGTCTTGAAAGAGCTCAAAAGCGTCTCCGAGTCTTTATGGGTAACGAAGTGCTTACCACCATCCAACCTCTCTCCCATAAGAGGGATGTAGCGAGCCACTCGCTGCTCTGACGCCACTTCCATGAAAAGTGCTCGGACGAACTACATTCCATGGTTACGCCAAGTCTAACTTTCACGGCTAGGAATCGCCATGCCACGTATTGTAACAAACCACACACACCTCCGTGTATTCCATCGGTAAAACGTAAGTTTCACTAGAGCAGCTTCTTCCCACGAACTGCTGTTCCAGTCGCTTCATATCTATCTATCTATCTATCTATCTATCTATCTCCTCCGTCTTTCCCCCCTCTCTCTCTGTATATATATATATATATATATATATATATATGCGTATATATATATATATATATATATATATATATATATATATATATATATATATAAACTTGTCTGTTTGTACCGAAGTCTGTTCGTATCTATGTCTTATTGTATGGAAATCAATTTCTATCTATCTATCTATCTATCTATCTATCACATATTTGCCTATCTATCTATCTATCTATCTATCTATCTATCTATCTATCACATGATTGCCTATCTATCTACCTAGCAACCTATCTATCTATCTATCTATCTATCTATCTATCTATCTATCTATCTATCACATATTTGCCTATCTATCTATCTAGCAATCTATCTATCTATCTATCTATCTATCTATCTATCTATCTATCTATCTATCTATCACATGATTGCCTATCTATCTACCTACCAACCTATCTATCTATCTATCTAATCAGTTGTTATTTCACCCGTTTTCAACTGGCCCTACCCTTACCGCCCGGAAATTTGGCCAGAGGATGTCTTCCGGCCAGCGACGCATTCAAATTGACCTTCACCACTCCCAAACCGGTCCGTCCTGACAAACCGATCGACCCCACTTTGATCCGCGGCCATTAGGGATAAGGCCTTGTTGGTCATCCGAAGATCAAACGATCTCGGCCGCTTTTATTCGTTCAGGTAGGAATGATTATTTTTATGTCTTGAAAGTAATGGCAAGCGAGTCAAAATACTGCATTGGATCGAGAGAAAAAAGAGAGAAGAATAGAGATAGACTAAGACAACAAAGAAGAAAGATTAAATGACTGAAGAAAGAAAGGGAATGAGAAGTAGAGAGAGGGGGAGAGACGAATGTGAAAAGAAAAAGGAGAAAGTGGATAATAGTAAGGGTGAAGCAAGGAGACAGAAAAGCAGAAAACGGAAAAAAAAAGATATAAACCGACTGAGATAGATAGATAGATAGATAGATAGATAGATAGATAAAGAGAGAAAGAGCGGGGATAGATAGATAGATAGATAGATAGATAGATAGATAGAGAGAGAAAGAGCGGGTATAGATAGATAGATAGATAGATAGATAGATAGATAGATAGATAAAGATAGAAAGAGCGGGGATAGATAGATAGATAGATAGCTATGGACAGATTTAGATAGATAGATATGAATGAATTTAGATAGATATGAAAAGACTGCGATTGATAGAGAAGAAAAGACTGAGATAGGTAGATAGATAAGAACAGACTGATATATATATATATATATATATATATATATATATATATATATACAGATAGAGAGAGAGAGAGGACAGAGAGAAAAAGAGAGGACGGAACGGGGTAAAGAGGAAGAGAGATATGAATGTGAAAAAAGGAGAAAATGAGGCAAAGAATAATATGTGTGAGGAAGGTAACAGAAAAGCTCGATATATACCGATTGAAATAGATAGATAGATAGATAGATAGATAAGAAATGAACAAACTGAGATAGATAGATAGATAGATAGATAAAGAAATGAACAGACTGAGATAGATAGATAGATAGATAGATAGATAGATAGATAGATAGATAGATAAGAAATGAACAGACTGAGATAGTGTTGTGGTAGGATCCACCTAATTTGCATAGTGGAGTACCGACCATATAAATATGGTTGGTACCGGGAAGAGAGGGAGGAATCAAGAGATTTAACCAGAGACTCTGCCCGATTGCGACTCAGTCAACACATTCTCCAGGAACGGTCTTACCAGGAATATACAAAAGACTATATGTAAATATTGTGTACACTTTCTTGTTTCAATACATTTTGTTCTAAGTACATTTTGTGTTGCATTATTATTCCATGCATTAGTCAAGTTTCAACAGATAGATAGATAGATAGATAGATAGATAGATAGATAGATAGAAACAGTGTGAAATAGATAGATATGAACAAACTTAGATAGATAGATAGATAGATAGATAGATAGATATGAACAGACTGAGATAGATAGATATAAACAAAATATAAACAGACTGAGATAGATAGATAGATAGAGAGAGAGAGAGAGAGAGAGAGAGAGACATGAATAGATTTAAATAGATATGAACAAATTTAGATAGATAGATAGATAGATATGAACAGAGATAGATAGATAGATAGATAGATAGATAGATAGATATGGACAAATTCAGATAGCTAGCTAGATATCTAGCTAACTAGCTAGCTAGATAGATGATAGATATGAACAGAATGAGATAGATAGATATAAACAAAATATAAACAGACTGAGATAGATAGTGAGAGAGAGAGAGAGAGAGAGAGAGAGAGAGATGACGTAGTAGGAGGGAGAAGTAATGAGATAGAGATATAGGAATTTATCAAGAAAAAGATTTGAATATTACATCCCTGAGATGGTCACCACCACGAAAAGAACATGCATAATCTCATTCTCTCATTTCAAACACAGTTGGCATTGCCTGTCTCACGGAAGTTTGTTAAACCTGCAGGATCACCTTTCGGGATAGTTCCTGTCCTTTTCCAAAATGCTGTCAGAATTTCCTTTGGGCCGAAACGGTGGATCTTCGGCTGGTGAAGTATTCTTTCATTACGTATGCAATTTCTTTTGGAGGTCACGACCATTATGAGGGTTCACGATCAACAAGAGATATCAGATACCTGTAGGAAATAGCAACATATCTTAGATAAGATGTTCAACTCTTTTTATATCAATTATGTAATAAATATTGCAAAACCGAACGGCGAGAAGCAATGGATGACGGGAGCTGTTTCTTGGTTTAAGCGGAAGCTTCTAGTGTTGGCGGTGAATTTAGCCATCAACGCCATCATCGTAAAGGAAGCGATCAGCAAAGTAGAAAATAAATTCTTGGTACGAAATAAAGCCTCCACCGCTGCTGACGAGGACGAATAAATATATCTGATAATCTATGTCATTTCTATAATCCAAGTTACTTGCTGTGTTCCATTATTATGGAACATCTTGTATTTCGTAAAGCTTTCTCGTCTGTACTTACCCACTTTCAATTTCAGCTGATCAAGCCTAATTTTCTTAACTTGGCCTCATCAAACTTGCCTTTTTTTAAAATTAATAATGAAAAAAAAAACAACAACAAAAAAAACAAAGAATTATTTTTACAATTCAATATATGATAAAGCTTTAAATAACACACAAAATATTTACAAGCTGTAAAAAAATAAAAATAAAAAATAAATCAACTCGTCAAGATTCTCCACAGGTTTTCAAGCCAGTTAGACAAATAATCCAGCCACTTCATCAAATAAGTCTCTTTGAAAGCCTATTTTTTAAAAACTAAGTATTCAACTAATGCAAGGCCTAAGAGCCATTCAGGATATATGATTGCTAAACAAGGTTGTTGTATGTATGAAAGAGGAGGAGGAGGTAAGTGAAAATCATGAAGATATGCAGGATAGATAATGATTGATCTTAGAACTGAAGAGGCTAGGCTTGTAGTGGCAAGTTCATAATTTGCCTTTATGGGACACAGTTCATATATCTGGCACTCTGTCATTTTTATAATCAAAGATACTTGCCGTGTTCCGTTATTATGGGACATCTTGTATTTCGTAAAGCTTCCCCCTCCCCGTAGTTACCCACTTTCAATTTCAGCTAACCCATCGCCTGCAACAAGGAAACAACAGGGGAAAAAAAAACTGGCTCGTAACATTCAGTACCCCCAAAACTAAGTACCTCCAGGAAATTGCTAACAAAATCAGCATACCGTGATGAAAACATGTTCCAAATGTAATGAAAACAGTTTTATCATTAATATCTTTTTTTTTTTTTTTTATTATTAAGAGGAAGGATCAACGTAGTTTTCAATATTTAATTAAATTTTTCATTCATTTTTAGAACATTAGAAATTTTGATTAAAAATTAAACGAAATTTTCTAATTAAATGTAAATGTTTCACAAATATATTTTGATTAAAGTATCAGGATTTTGTATTTTTTTTTCCAACCCTTTTGTATCTGATCTTAAGATTTTTCACCGGGGGGTGTAGCTAAACTGTCAAGTTGGATACAACCGTTTTCTCAAATCAATGATTGAAAAGTGGCTTTGACTGAGTCTGTGACTCTTGTTTTTACAGTAAAGTTCACCCTCTACAAAGCCCGAGGGCCACTCCAGGTAGAGGGCTAAATGAAGGCGTAGTTTATACGCTAGGAAGGGAAGATAACGGTTAACTCTATACTTGAACAGAGAGCGAAGATCATCTTGAATAAGTTGGAAAATGATCCTAGAATTATATATATATATATATATATATATATATATATATATATATATATATATATATATATATCACGATACTTCTGTGGCTTCCTTTGTAAATCACTAGCGGGTCTTAAATGCCACTTAAGATTATCGCACAAAATTTCAGAACTGAATCAACTAAGCTGTCAGATCCTCATACGTCGGAACCGATGGGAGAGTCCATTATATATATATATATATTTGAAATTTATTTCAATACTACATGAGCTTCCGATACTTAGCTATGATTAATTAATGGTGAACATGTTATTTCGTTTATGATCGATTTCATCACGATACTTCTGTTAAACTTGGAGAGTAATTATATATTTTTATTGCTCAAAGTAGAGAACAATAGTGTTATAAAAACCTCGGAGAATTCCAGTAATATATCTTTAATCACTTCTAATATACAACGGTTCAAATCTTAATCTAACAAATGGACAATTTTGAAGTTACAGGATTTGATTAAGGTAACAGTATTTGATATTTTCTATATCAATTATGTAATAAATATATTTGGTACTCTATGCCATTTCTATAATCTAAGATATCCGCATTTAAAATGGGTTACATCATTACGAGACAACCTATATAATCTTAACCTATTCAAGGCTAGGGTTAATCGTTATCTCCCTCGCCCATACACACAAATGGCCTCCTAACGTACCTCTCTACCCCGAGTGGCTCCCGGACCTTGTAAAGGGCGACTGTAAAAAAAAAAAGATGTTTTCAACAGCAGCAGCAGCAGAAGTAATCAAAACATGAGCAGCATCAGCAGCCAAAAGATGACAGCTAGCAGCAGAAGCATTTGCAGCCTAATCAACAGTCAGGTTAGATTTAACGCTCCAAAACTTAGACTAAGTTTTAGAGCGTTGAATCTAACCTGGCAGATGTTCCTGAAGTGGGTTCCGAGGAACCCAGAGGTTCCGCAAAGGGGTGTCTGAGGTTTCATGACAAAAGTTCAGAGTAAGAAATGTTTGACATAAAACATTATCAACGTTGGTAAAAAAATAGTTGCCAACATATTTAGATTGTTTTGTAATGTACTGATGTATCTTGTAATACTTTTCTATATCGTTTACCAGTGAATGGTAATTGTATCAAACTACCGTTGAATTAAAAAGTAGTCATTGATTGTGATATCATCTGTTTTCTATGACAACACATACATCTGAAAGCTCATTTTCTCGCCATATTGAAAAAAAAAAAAAAAGCTCTGGCTGTTACTTGACTCTTGTTGGCGTAACTTTCGCGTGTATACATTCCGGTTAAAAACATAACACCAAACTACTTATGTGAAAGTGGATTTTCCTATGACACTGCCATAAAATCTCAATATCGAAGCAGGCTTAATCCTGCTGCTGAATTGAGAGTCAAAACTCTCAAGTATAAAGCCAAACCTGTCTATATTTCTGAGATGAGGTATTATGTACACTATTTACATTGTTCGGACTATTGTCCTCATCTTTGTCGCCATATTCATTACAACGTTTCGGCACTTCAGTATCTGTCTATATTTCGTAGATGGGGTATTATGTACACTATTTACATGTACATTATTTCGCTCACTGGGGTAGACTGTTCTAGTTCCACGTGTCATATATTAATGGATGTCAGTTTTCAGTTATCTCCTGTTTAATTTTAGTTAAATAAGTTAAAAAAAGTAAAAGAGAATGATAAAAGTATCGTTAGTAACGCTATACTCGTTGCGTAAAACGTGTACAGCCAGAAATAACCGAACAAGAAATGAGCTAATCATCTTCGTAACGTAAACAACAGAAAAGATGCATATTCGCCATGTTTGTATTTTATAATATGATACTAATGTGTGGATATTACATGCATTATTATTGGATACAGTTAAGTAAAACATCAGTTTTATCAAAATCATGTTTATTTTAAATACAGCTGTACATTTTGACTACAGTAAATGGATATATAGTTTGGTCAATGGCATAGTCAGGGCAGCAGTACATATGGTAATTTTATATCTCGTGTATGATGCTACCCTCTTAAAATTATCTTCAAAATTAGATCTTCAAAAGTCGCATGATACGCGAGCATATATGGTACATACGTAGAATGAGTTGCAAAAAATACATAAAAAAGGCGTTTACTTGTATTTTATTATAATTATCTCCCCTTAAATAAATTAGCTGTCGATAAATGTCTCAAAACATAAAAAAACATCTACCACTGTGTTAAAAATATTTTTCTATAACATTTTAAACTAAAAGTATCGTATATGTTCACATATAATGCAACCTTTGAAGACCTAATTTTGAAGCTAATTTGACTACAGTAAATAGATATGTAGTTTCGTCAACGGCGTAGCCAGGACCAGCAGTACATACGCTAATTTTATATCTAGTGTATGATGCGACCCTCTTAAAATTAGCTTCAAAATTAGCTCTTCAAATGTCGTATGATATGTGAGCATGTATGTTACGTACATGAAATGGTCTGCAAAAATTACATAAAATAGGCATTTACTTGTATTTTATTAGGATTATCTCCCCTTAAATAAATTTTCTAAACACCAGGCTGTCGATAAAGGTGTCAAAACAAAAACAAAAAAAAAACACATACCACTTTTAAAAAAATATATTTTTCTACAATATTTTAAACAAGAAGTATTGTATATACACACGTATCACGCAAGATTTGAAGACCTAATTTTGAAGTTAAATTTGTCTACAGCAAATGAATATTTAGTTTAGTCAATGGAATAGTCAGAGCCAGCAGTACATACACTGATTTTATATCTCATGTATGATGTGACCCTCTTAAAATTAGCTTCAAAGTTGAGTTTTCAAAAGTCTCATGATACGCGAATATATACGGTAACACCTTATTCAAGAAATTCAGGCAGAAAGTAAAATTTATATTGCAAACTTATTCTTGGTTTTTCCTTGGAGTTTTTAGAACTTTCTATGGGCGTAATTTTCCTTGAATCGTCGCTAAAATTTGTCATTTTTACCTTTGAACCCGGCATAAACCACACACACTGAATTTTCTTCAGGCTTTGATGAACATACGCAAAGGATCGCATGCAAAGACAGAAACCGTTCAGAGGAATTTATGTAAGAATTGGACAGGGTAGGAAACCTGAAAGGCCAACTGAATTGCCATCGCCTTCTTGGAGATATTTCCAAAGGGAATTGTATTTACCAGGCCGCAGAAATAAACTTGAGATTCAAATCAATTCCAGAAAAGTCCGGTGCGTTCTCAGTGAACTGGAATACCTTGAAGGAACTCTCGTCTGCTTTAAGCAATTTTCTCAAGAAAAGGCGCGGCCACACAAAAGGAACAATGGAGGCAGGTGGTATTCTTTGAAGAGAAGTTCAATTTAGATGGTCCCGATGGAGGGTAGTTCTGAAAAGAGGAACTGCTTAGCCTCTTGCTTAAGATAGGATTAAATTCCCTTTGAAATCTTGTAAAATATTGTGTCCTTAATGTCAAATAAGTGTAGTCGGATAATCGTAATTATTGATTATTATACATATTTTAGAGAGAGAGAGAGAGAAAGAGAAAGGGAGAGAGAGAAAGGAAGAGAGAGAGAGAGAAAGAGAGAGAAAGAGAACGGGAGAGACTGAGAGAGAGAGTGACAAATTGAGAGATAGACAAGCAGAGACAGAGACACAGCGATAAAGAGAGTATAAAAGAAAGATATAAAACAATTATCTTTTTTCTCTCTTTCCTTGTTTCTTTCATTCATTCATTCTTTCTTTCTTTCTTTCTCTGCACACAAACGCAAAGACACACATATACACACACATATCTATTATATTGATCATTATTTTTTTTTTTACTCTCACTAATCTATTCTGGCATAGGACGGAAAGTGCGACACTGAAAACTGAAGGCTTATTGGGATAGCGAAAAGATGCTAACCAAAATCTAAGTAAAGTATTAATAAACAGAAATTCATTAGAAACAAAGAATATATTACTGAACTGTTATGTAATATCAGTTCTCTTATATGGCAATGAATGCTGGACAATCTCCTCACAGATGAAGAACAGGCTTGAAACAACAGAAAAACAATTTTAAACATATGGGATTTAGTGGTGTACCCAATAAGAACCGAATTAAACAATAATGATCTGCAATATTAGGTTGTTTGCCATTAAGTAACAGTGAGGCAACTCCGGCTCGTGAATTGTGAAAACAAAATAAATTAGGAAAAAGTAAGCAAAATGAAAGAATAAAGAATTAAGGAATAAAAGAATACAGAATGAAAATGCGAAATAATAAAAAATAACAGACAAATATGAATGAAAGGGGAAAAAATAAAAACGTAATAGAAAAAAGAATAAAGAACTAAAGAATAAATAAAGAAATGATAGAAGAATAATGAATGAAATAGAGAAAGAATGAAGGTATAAGGGAATAAATAACGAATTAATGAGAATATCAAACGAAATAGAGAAAGAATAAAGAATAAAAGAATAAGAGAATAAATAAAGAAATAATGAGAGAATAACGAACGAAATCGAGAAAGAATAAAGAATAAAAGAATTATAAACGACAGGAGAAAAAGAAAAACTAGAAACATTAAACAGAAACAGTGAACCAACAAATGGCTTGCTTCTCTGTCGATAGCTAACGAAGGAAAGAGAAGCAGACGACACCGAAGAGACATGAAGGAAGTAATGGAAAGGAATGACACAAAAATCCGCTCCTTTGATGTGGCCTGTGTTGGTCCTTCGGGCTGGCAAATTGCAAATTTAGAAGGTAGAAGCAAGTCTGTTTGCGTTTGAGTGGGCCGGGACTGGGCACGGATGGGTTTGGAAGAATTTTCTGACGTTGGGAGGAAATGGTTTGGAAGGAGTCTTCTTGTTAATTTAGCCTCAGAACTCAAATGAGATTTGGTTGCGCGCCAAGTTTGGCCATCAGTGATCTTGCTCTCGCGAGAACGGCAAATGGGATTGAACAACAAAACGAGAACTCGATCATTTGTCTTTTCGTTCAATCATTTTTTGAGACCATTTTTTTTGTTCTTTTTTTATTTTTATTTATAGCTGGGCGCGTTGAATATTCACACTAGTCATATATATGGGGGCCTTCACTATTGATTAAGTGGCAGCAAATAACTCCAGGACTCTTGTCGTGTCCATTAAAATATTTAATACAATATTTAATTATGATTTAGGTCAAGTGTCGGCAAGCTACGGCCGGCGGGCCGGATCTGGCCCGCGAAGGCATTCTGACCGGCCCCCGAGCCTGATTACCAATGACTCTATTTTTAACATGAGAGACAAGGTTTTCGAATTAGACTATCTGCCAGTTATCTTTCATGAGACTTATTTTACCAAGTTGCATTGACTACGTTTAATGTCAAATAATGGATACATATTTTTATGAACCTTGGCTACATTAAAAGATAACAGAAGCGAAAGGAACGATAAAGTGAAAGAGGCCAGGGAGGGACTGACATGTGAGGTAGCAGAAATCTAAAGACAGTTAAACATACGCGCATTATACATACATGCCTCATGAATATGTGGATGATACCGCATGTGTACGTACGTAAGTGTATATGTTTGCAACTATTTGTACTCGTATGTATGGGGATATGTGCTTCGTTTTTGTTTGATGTGTGTGTGTGTGTGTGTGGTTCGTTTGTGGAACAATTTTCAATAAAAGTTTCAAACCTACACGTCATAATTTCATCCATTTCACTTCGGTTGATTTTTTTTCACTTTGATGTATTTTGATGTTCCTTGAGGAAAAGTAATTTTTGTTAGGTGTTTTTTGTAATTTTAGATTTTCGTTTGTTTTTCTGATTTTTCTTATTTTCATTATGGTTTTAAATATTTAGGTTGACAGGGGTCTGCATATGTAATTTTCCTTAATTTTTCATTAATGGCCTTCGTCCGGCCCGCGACCCGTCATTATCACACGATCCGGCCCGCGGGGTCGAATAAGTTGCCGACCCCTGATTTAGGTAGATACTGCCAAAATATCACGAGGATGTAGTAGAAGGCATATCATGTGGATTTTTAGGGCCAATTTACGAAGAAATAAATAATATAATTCTGGAGAGAATTTTCTTACAAAAAAAAGTGTATAAAACTGACAAAATCCGAGCCCCAAACATGAGACGCAAAGGTGTCACTAAGGTCCACAACACTCTAGTTTCAAGACCCCAGTTACGTCCACACTACATAATGCCGCTTCTTCATTGTTGGTGTTCCCAGGTCCATCCTGACCGAGGGTGGTAGCACCTGTTAGGGTCCAAACAATGGGCAAATAGGTAACCCCCAAACTAGAGTCAAAATACTATGAAAGTGTAAAAATAGGAATACAAGCAATAAATTGCTTGAGGAAATAATACCAGGAAGAAAAATATTACCAGCAATAGAAATCTTGTCGGCATTAAATGACCCATTGAGGTGTTGATATGTCGTAAAACAAAATAAACCCAAACCCTGATCTACAAACTAATTTCTTACAAAGAATACATATTTTGTTCATATGTATCTTCTAAAAATCTTGTCGGCATTAAATAACCCTATGGGGTTGATAAGCCGTTAAACAAAATTTAAACTGATTTCAAAACCCCTGATCAACAAACTGAATTATTACAAAGAATATATATTCTGTTCATACAAACTGATTTCTTCTAAAAATACTGTTGCCACTAAATAACCCTATGGGTTTGATAAACCGTAAAACAAAATTAAACCAAAACCCTGATCAACAAACTGAATTCTTACAAAGAATACATATTCTGTTCATACAAGCGTCTTCTAAAAAACCTGTTGGCATTAAATAACCCTATGGGGTTTATAAGCCGTAAAACAAAATTAAACCAAAACCATGATTAACAAACTGAATTCTTACAAAGAATACATATTCTGTTCATACAAGCCTCTTTTAAAAATCCTGTTGGCATTAAATAACCCTATGGGGTTGATAAGCCGTAAAACAAAATTAAACCAAAACCCTGATCAACAAACTGAATTCTTACAAAGAATACATATTCTGTTCATACAAGCCTCTTCTAAAAAGCCTGTTGGCATTAAATAACCCTATGGGGTTGATAAGCCGTAAAACAAAATTAAACCAAAACCCTGATCTACAAACTGATTTCATATAAAGAATACATATTCTGTTGATACAAGCGTCTTCTAAAAATCCTGTTGCCATTAAATAAACCATTGGGGTTGATAAGCCGTAAAACAAAATAAAACCAAAACCCTGATCAACAAACTGAATTCTTACAAAGAATACATATTCTGTTCATACAAGCCTCTTCTAAAAATCCTGTTGGCATTAAATAAACCTTTGGGGTTGATAAGCCGTAAAACAAAATTAAACCAAAACCCTGATCAACAAACTGATTTCTTACAAAGAATACATATTCTGTTCATACAAGCCTCTTCTAAAAAGCCTGTTGGCATTAAATAAAACTTTGGGGTTGATAAGCCGTAAAACAAAATTAAACCAAAACCCTGATCAACAAACTGATTTCTTACAAAGAATACATATTCTGTTCATACAAGCCTCTTCTAAAAATCCTGTTGGCATTAAATAACCCTATGGGGTTGATAAGCCGTAAAACAAAATTAAACCAAAACCCTGATCAACAAACTGATTTCTTACAAAGAATACATATTCTGTTCATACAAGCCTCTTCTAAAAATCCTGTTGGCATTAAATATCCCTATGGGGTTGATAAGCCGTAAAACAAAATTAAACCAAAACCCTGATCAACAAACTGATTTCTTTACAAATAATATATATTCTGTTCATACAAGCCTCTTCTAAAAAATTTGTTTGGCATTAAATAACCCTATGGGGTTGATAAGCCGTAAAACAAAATTAAACCAAAACCCTGATCAACAAACTGATTTCTTACAAAGAATACATATTCTGTTCATACAAGCCTCTTCTAAAAATCCTGTTGGCATTAAATAACCCTATGGGTTGATAAGCCGTAAAACAAAATTAAACCAAAACCCTGATCAACAAACTGATTTCTTACAAAGAATACATATTCTGTTCATACAAGCCTCTTCTAAAAATCTTGTTGGCATTAAATAACCCTATGGGTTGATAAGCCGTAAAACAAAAATTAAACCAAAACCCTGATCAACAAACTGATTTCTTACAAAGAATACATATTCTGTTCATACAAGCCTCTTCTAAAAATCCTTGTTGGCATTAAATAACCCTTTGGGGTTGATAAGCCGTAAAAGAAAATTAAACCAAAACCCTGATCTAAAACTGATTTCTTACAAAGAATACATATTCTGTTCATAAAGCCTATTCTAAAAATCTTGTTGGCATTAAATAACCCTATGGGGTTGATAAGCCGTAAAACAAAATTAAACCAAAACCCTTCTACAAACTGATTTCTTTTACAAAGAATACATATTCTGTTCATACAAGCCTCTTCTAAAAATCTTGTTGGCATTAAATAACCCTATGGGGTTGATAAGCCGTAAAACAAAATTAAACCAAAACCCTGATCTAAAACTGAAAAGAATACATATTCTGTTCATCAAGCCTCTTCTAAAAATCTTGTTTTAAATAACCCTATGGGGGTTGATAAGCCGTAAAACAAAATTAAACCAAAACCCTGATCAACAAACTGATTTCTTACAAAGAAATACATATTCTGTTCATACAAGCCTCTTCTAAAAATCCTGTTGGCATTAAATATCCCGATGGGGTTGATAAGCCGTAAAACAAAATTAAACCAAAACCCTGATCTACAAACTGATTTCTTACAAAGAATACATATTCTGTTCATACAAGCCTCTTCTAAAAATCCTGTTGGCATTAAATAACCCTATGGGGTTGATAAGCCGTAAAACAAAATTAAACCAAAACCCTGATCAACAAACTGATTTCTTACAAAGAATACATATTCTGTTCATACAAGCCTCTTCTAAAAATCTTGTTGGCATTAAATAACCCTATGGGGTTGATAAGCCGTAAAACAAAATTAAACCAAAACCCTGATCAACAAACTGATTTCTTACAAAGAATACATATTCTGTTCATACAAGCCTCTTCTAAAAATCCTGTTGGCATTAAATAACCCTATGGGGTTGATAAGCCGTAAAACAAAATTAAACCAAAACCCTGATCAACAAACTGATTTCTTTTCAAAGAATACATATTCTGTTCATACAAGCCTTCTGTTAATTCTTTCTAAAAATCTCCTGTTGGCATTAAATAACCCTATGGGGTTGATAAGCCGTAAAACAAAATTAAACCAAAACCCTGATCAAGAAACTGATTTCTTACAAAGAATACATATTCTGTTAATACAAGCCTATTCTAAAAATCTTGTTGGCATTAAATAACCCTATGGGGTTGATAAGCCGTAAAACAAAATTAAACCAAAACCCTGATCAACAAACTGATTTCTTACAAAGAATACATATTCTGTTCATACAAGCCTCTTCTAAAAATCTTGTTGGCATTAAATAACCCTATGGGGTTGATAAGCCGTAAAACAAAATTAAACCAAAACCCTGATCATACATATTCTGTTCATAAGCCTCTTCTAAAAATCCTGTTGGCATTAAATATCCCTATTAAGCCGTAAAACAAAATTAAACCAAAACCCTGATCAACAAACTGATTTCTTACAAAGAATACATATTCTGTTGATACAAGCGTCTT